TTTTTTTTAAAAAAAAGAACTGTCATAAATCCCCCAAAAGCATAGCTGAAATCTGCAGATGGGAATCATAGGAACTGAAGCATCATCCAATATCTGGAGGGAACCAAATGGGGGGGGGGGGACCCTAGTCTCAGAAGTGGTAAAAATCTCTGCACCCGGGCAGAACTTTTCTTCTTATATTCTTATTTCGATTTTTCAGAAAGGTTCCAACGGAACCAGCCCCTATCCCTTGGGCCAGATGCATCTTTCCAGATTTTAATGTTTTTTAAAGTCCTTAAAAACATCCCTCGGCTTCAACTTTTCCCTAAACTGTTCCCCCCCCCCCTCTTTTCTCCGAGCACAGTTCACACGTGCTGATGGACACGGGACAGTAAAGGGAGGGAAGGAGGATGGCACAGCAACTGAAGCACTCCAACGGAATCTACTCCATCATCTGCCACCCCACCGTCTGGAGGCAACGGAGGAGAGAAGGGCACCATCATCCTGCAGCCGTTACCTTGGTTGCTGTCCGAGGCAAAGGAACTGGCCGTTCACTTCGGCTGTTCATGATGCTCAGGGGAGCCGCAGGGGGCGACCCTTCTTTCCAGGGCTTCCTCTCGCGCGACGCGTTTCCCCGGCAACGGATCCTGTCAGATGGCTACGACAGGAACCGTCAACTCTGAAGAAACCCAAGATTTCTTATTGAGAGGGCAACATTTCCCTATCAATATGCTAATTTTTCGCATCGCGAGCCAAAGATTATATTGGTTTCCTACAAACACCGACGAACGTTTTACTGGCGCGTTTACATAGCTGCCAGGATCCGAAAGGAAGAACCGCCTCAAAATAGCCCTCAATGCGGAGAGGAGGAGGTGTGTGCATTTTGGCGCGTGCGCATTAGACGGACAGGAAGAGGAGCGCGCATGTGTATCCCAAATAAAAGAAACGAGCTTGGGCGAGATTGAGGCGTTGTTTCTCTTTGGCCTGCCGGCGAGTATCCGGACGACGCCATGGGGAAATTGAACGTAGTTTTACTCCGATACCTTTCTCGGGATCATTTTAGGGTCCTCATTGCGGTAAGTCTGGGTTGACGGATTCGATTCGGTTTGAGAGCTGAATTGGTCGGGACGGCCACGTGTCTCCTGTTGCAAAAGATTTAGGTTGGCTCCTGGTAAAAGTGCTGAGACCGGAGACCTTCCAGATGTTCTTGAACTTCCAGAACCCTTCCCTTTTAGGCATACTGACTGGAATTGCTGGGGATTCAGGAACATCTGGGGCTTCCACATCTGTTTACAGATGAGTCTCTTTTTTTTTAAAGTAAATAACTTTATTATCATATTGTACACTAATCGGCATACATTAAAATGAAATTTTATTGTATACAGCTCTGAAAGGGTCATCACCTCTAATATGCACTATATAATCATGACAGAATAAATAATTAAATACAAAATTAAATATGCATATACCCACATATGACAGCATATGTGTACATGGCGAGAAAAGTGAATCTTGTGAGTTTACCAAGTTATGTCTGACTTTTGGAAAGATGATAGAAAGCAGAGCGGCCACCCCCACTCCAGATAGAAATAGATTACTCTTCCAGATTCTGGAAGATTGGGATTAATCTGGACTCGAATTAAGGCCTGCCAAGAATTTGTTCTATCATTCATTTGCCTTCAGAATGCCATTTCAACGATCTATATTTTATCAGATTATCAATGTTAAGGGAAATACATGCATTCAAAATAGGTGTTAGTACATTTAAAATACATTTAAAAGAGTAGGAAAGAGATCAAGTTGGGTTTATCATAATACCTTGTATTTATTATTCTTTCTTTTTGTTATTATAGGTAGAAATGGGCATGAAGAATCATGAAATAGTCCCTCCCAGTTTGATTGCCTCCATTGCCAGTCTTAAACACGGGGGTTGTAATAAAATTCTGAAAGAATTAACAAAACACAGACTTATAGCTTATGAACGAACTAAAAGTAAGTACAAATGTTTTTATTCTTCTGTGCACCTGTATACCTACCAACAAAGGTTAAATTTTGTATTACTGTAGTAATAATTTGTATTAGTATGATGTTTTGAATTATATAAATAATAGAAAACAGAGGACTTGTCATCATTTTGGCTACATTCAGTCCCCTTCATACTTAAGTGCAGAGCTTGGGCTGTACCTTAGTATAGGCAAGGTTTATTTCAAATTGAATAAATAATTATAAGAGGTTGTTCCAAGATAAACTATTTCAATTCCTTTTAGTGATTTAAAATAGTTTTACCCAACTTTTTGTCCTCACATTACCTTGGGCTACAGTGCCCAACACATTCAATAAAAGAAATAATATGTGGCTTGGGTTTGAACTGTGCAGATTGTTCTATCTGAGGTTGGCTATCGCAATCAACTTGGTTGGTGCAACCAAGCTCAGAAAATATCAAGGCCTTCATAGTCAACATTACTGTTGATGTGTTTATTTCTTTGAATTTCATCTCAGTACTAGAGTAAGTCTAAGCAGTTTACAAATTCCAATTAGAAATAATAGATATTACCATAGAACTAATAAAAAGAAAAAGAAACTGACATGTCCAGAAAGATGGCCAACTCATTACAATAACTACCAGGGAGAAAATCCGTAGGTTTCCTGGGAAGCCAACTTTTCACAGCTCTACAGAAAGAGTCACATCAATGGATCCTGTTCCACAGGATAAGTCCATTTACAGAGAATATGCTCCTGCAAGCGTCCACAGGTTGACAGTGTCTTATAGTTGAGACCTGGAGCATGTCATTCCTTCCAGATTGTATTCATCAAGCAGAAACAACAGGATGATTGGCAATGTTAGGAATTATAGTTCAATATAATGGCATGGTTATATCATCAGAAATATAATCATATTAAATTATTAACATACGCATACTGTTGTCATATTTTAATTTTTCAGCTGTCCAAGGTTATCGATTGACTAATGGAGGGTATGATTACCTTGCCTTGAAAACACTGACTTCCCGAGACGTGATCTGTTCTGTTGGAAACCAAATGGGTGTTGGAAAAGAATCAGGTATTTTAAACACTAATTTAATTGGCAAGGACAAGTTGGGAAAGTTATCATAACCTTTGTTTGTAAATTCCCCCCCCCCCCTTCCCCAAAATGCTTAGGGATAATGTGAATGTGTATGAATGAAATTTTGTTTTAAAAGATATTTACATTGTTGCAAATGAAAAAGAAGAGCAACTTGCATTAAAACTGCATAGGCTTGGGAGGACCTCCTTTCGGAACTTGAAAAACAAGCGTGATTACCACAAACACAGACACAAGATGTCATGGCTCTACCTTTCGCGTCTGGCTGCAATGAAAGAATTTGCCTATATGAAGGTACTACTTATATCCCTGATTGATGGCCCAGGGTAGTTGTAATTGAGAATAAGATATATCCAAGGCTCGGTTGCCTTCCTGTAATTTCCTTTTCACACATTAAAATGATGGATTTGATTTGGAATACCCACAGTTTTTTTAAATATTTTTCTAATATGTTCCTGATAAGTCTTGTAAGAATCATCACAAATTTTGAGTTCATTTAGCTCATCCATGATTGTGATTCACTGATAAGTTGATCCTTGAATTTTTAATAAAAATACCATGAAAAATGTTCTTTCCACACATAAGCTAACCTGCATTTTTCATGCTATTTTTGTTTGAGGGAAAATTGTGAATGGGCTTCTCTGTGGCTGTATATAAGATACATGGCTGTTTTGCCAAATATATTATTTTATAAGCTCATTCCCAGATGAGCCAAACTCAATTTTAGGGGCATATTTTGGCATTTAAAATTATTAGCTTATCCACCAGTATATATTTTGGTGTCATTTGTTGGAGGATAAGTCCAGACATTTCCTCCAGTCGATGCTTTTTGAGTGGCCATCTTAAGAAATGAGAGGGCTCTTTGGCTTGATATGACACTGCCACTCCTATATTAGTGCATAATTTGTACAAATGTGTTTGGGCTAATCACTAAAGTTAATGTAATAGATTAGAACAGTGTTTCTCAACCTTGGCAACTTGAAGATGTCCGGACTTCAACTCCCAGAATTCCCCAGCCAGCATGCTTCTAAACATTGAGAAACATTGGATTAGAATAATTATTTGCTCTTCAGAAGGAAATTTATTTACTCATGTTGTCTGTATGTATTTCTTTGGTGTTTATTTCCTCCTTGACCAGGCTTTGTATGACCGGCAGTTTCCTGTTCCAAAACCATATGACTACAACAGACATGCAGTAGTAATGGAACTTGTCAATGGCTACCCACTGTAAGTATCAGTGCTTGCCTGGCACAGACCTATTAAGGCTCCTTCATTTCCAGTGTGGTAAATTGATAAGCTGCTAGTCACTGCTATTTGGAAGAAAAAAAAAGCACAGAAATAGTTATTGTGTTTAGGATGCATTTCAGAAGGAATAAGCCCAAAATCCAAAATATGTCACTTCAATTATATGTGAACTGTCCTCATTTAATGTAAACAATTATATAACTAGGTCTCCCAACTAGATAGTATTGACATATATGACTGTTTACCACGCATCTTACAATTGGCTTAAACTAGAAGTGGGTAAGTTTGAGAAACATTGTATTTTTTTCTGATATGTTGTTTTTAATTTTTTTAAAAATGTATGCACACAAAAACACACATGCACATTTAACACTTACTTATAGCTGGGTGACATATCATCTGTAGGGCTTATTGCAGCTGAGTGGACTGCCTTGAGTTGACATGACAGGGAAACTACCAGTGCATATTTTGTCTGAGTTTATAATTTTTTCTGCTTTTCTTTGTTCTAGTGATATTTTTTTTCTCTTCAGCCAATTGTATTCTAGTCCGTCTAATCTGATATTGTTTTTCTATATAGCTAAATGGAGCTTTTATCTTTTTAATTTTTTATGTAGATGTCAAGTGCGTCATCTTGAAGACCCTGCCTCCCTATATAATGAGTTAATGGAATTAATTGTAAAACTTGCCAACCATGGCTTGATCCATGGTGACTTTAATGAATTCAATCTCATATTAGATAATAAAGACCAGGTTACAATGATTGATTTCCCACAGATGGTATCAACTTCTCACCCAAATGCTGAATGGTGAGTAACTTCTTCATGTAAATAATCTATGTGGCTCAACAAAGTTGCCTTGGTTTAAATTTCAACTAAATCTTGCATTGCAACTCAGCTTTGCTGAATAATAATGGCTTGTTCACATAACACTAAATTCCAATTGATAGCTTATTCAGAATTAGGATAAATTAAAACCAAAGGGCTTTATGCATCAATCACTATGTAAAATAATGTATTCTAGGGAACTTTGAATAATTACTTTGTAATTTGATATTTTAAAGATTAATGTGAATTTGTGTTGGAATAATTTCCAAGAGCTTTTTCCTGATTTAATAACGCCTTCTTGAATTTGTGTTTTTATTCTTAAGCTTGATTATTGGTTTTAAATTGTTCTTATTGTAAACTTTGTACCATGGATATTTTAATTCTTTTATTCTAATTAAGCCATGAAGAGTCTTATAGATTGTGGCCAGAAATAAATGAGAATCTTCTAATAATATTTTAATTCAGGTATTTTGACAGAGATGTGAAATGTATCCGTGATTTCTTCATGAAACGTTTCAGCTATGAAAGTGAACTATATCCAACTTTCAAGGATGTTAGGTAAGCTGTGTGGCATATTAATACATGAACATGTATTTCATTCTTTTTAGTCTTCTTCCATAGTGCTGAGTATACAGTACACATTGAGATTTCACTTGTAGGTATATCTGCTAAGAACTCAAATCATGTTTTGTACTTCACATACAAATGTAAATTTTTATTAATCATGTAGGGCAGGGCTGTCAAATTTGCAGGCCAGATGCATCACGCCCTGGCCACACCCAGTTTAACAAAGGAGGAATATGTCACGTGACAACATGGATTTGACACCTTTGATGTAGGAGATTGACTTAACACAGGGTTCAGAGTAGCTATTTTGTAATAAATGGATGTTATTAATCTATTCCTTTCATTTATCTACGGTATTCTGGGGTTTCAAGATGTTTATTTTTAAACATTTTGGGCATGTTATTAAAATCAATAACTATGGATCAAATTCTTCTTAGAAAGCAATACATCCAAACAAGCATTCTCTTTTGTATAAATAGACCTCAGCAACGTTTTTCTTACTGTATTATGAAGGGAAGCCATTGTTCCCATTTATTTCCAATTCCTACTATCATTTTTACTTAAATTCAGACTTTTTGTTGATCTAAATGGAAATCTCCCTCTGTTTTTCTTTATAATCATTATCTAACACAGATTCATCTTTTCTTCCTCCATCCCTATTTTTAAAAAAATAAAAGATTGAGTCCATTTACAATACACAACTAATCATTCTTTTAGTAATTTCTAGAATTCCATCTCAAGATCACAATTCTTTTTTCGTCCTCTCCTTTTGGAAAGCACTGGTACATTATAAATAAGCAATGTTTTTGTTGGCGGGGGGAGAAATATTATGGTTTTTGAGTATTACTTGCAAAATGATTTTTGTTTCACTTTATTTCAACATTACCAGGAAAGAGTGTTCTCTTGATGTTGAAATTTCAGCCAGTGGCTACACCAAAGAAATGCAAGAAGATGATGAATTACTTTACTTGGATTGCCCTGAACATGAGACTCTTAAAACTGAGACATTTTCTGATGGACAAGATCCAGAAGGAGCGATTGCTTCATGTAACAGCGAAGATCAAATGTCTGATGGGAACTTCATACATGAGGTTAAAAAAGCTTCAGAAGGTTTGCTGCAGAGCCCTGACGAAGATAGTACAGATGAAGATGAAGACAGTTTAGATTTGCAGGGATTAAGCTGTGCCTTACAGCAGATTGAAGGGCAGGTGATGATAACTGAAGAGAAGGCTGATCCTGAAAGCTCTGTCATTGATTTTCCTGGTGATAAGAAGAACATGGAAAAATGTACCCAGTTGGAAGACGAAGTGGTTCATGAAGATACTGCTGACAAAGAATATGAAGATGAATGCTCTGGTCTGGTTGATTTGTCTACATTCAACAGGGAATTTAGACCTTTCAGGTAGAGGGCTATACTAATCATTAGAAGCTTTCTATGTGTTGTTTCTTTGTTTTGCCTTTCCAGAAGGTGAGCTTCTTTCTCAATATCCTCAAGCATACAGTATATTGTTTGCAGATAAGTAATTTTTAATGGTTTCTTTCAAACTTTGGCACATACTATGAGCTTCATTTTAACCGCCTTACATTTAATATACTCACCAGATCATTTTGCTATTTCTTAATTGACCCCGACATAAAAATATTAAAAATGTAGATTTCCCATTCATATATATTGATTATTTAAATGGCATCTTGTATTGGATCAGTTCATGATAGAGGAACATGGGTTCTTTTACTCTGATATTATTTCACAATTACAGCCTTTGCAGCATCCCCATGATCATGTTATCAAAATTCAGATGCATGGCAACTGGTTCATGTTTATGAAGGTTGCTGTGTCCTAGGGTCACATGAAATCCTTTTGTACCTGGCAAGTAAAATCAATGGGAAAGCCCAGAAAGTTTGGGATCAATTGTTGTAAATTGAGGGCTGCCTGTACACAATAAACCAGATTACTTTAAGGAACCCAAACAAAAACCTCCATCCCTTCAGCAAGTTTTGTGTGTGAATTCCTTAGTGCATCATGTCCATTAATGAAATTGGGATTGTGGGAACAGCCTTTGTGAATGTCACTGTTCTAGCTTATTTGCACTGGAAAGACTGCTTAGCAAAACGTGGATTAAAAGTGAGTGATTAAAAATATTTCTTATTTCAGGGATGAAGATAGCCTGTTTCATGTCAATCAGCACAGGACAAGAACCACTAGTATGGCTTCAGTATGGAGCACTACAAGCCAGTCAACAATTCCTCCTGTAAGTTTTTACATAATGGGTCTCAGGATCTCTTCCCCCCCACCCCCAAATCATCTACTTCTAAGCCTGACTGCAGATTTAGTAACACTTGTTCAGTATAATTTCACATGCTTTAGGTCTTTACTAGGAAATAGAAATTTAATATTATTATATTGATAAATATTTTTTCAGCTATTGTCATTAAATAAATAAAAATAAATTTAAACTTCAGATAATGGATAAAACCAATTTAAGCGGATCCAGAATATTCAATTTCTTTATTCTTAAGTTTCGATCATTTAAACAGCTTACCGTAAATTAAATTTTAAATTGTTTAAAAAAAACTTCTTAAAGATGCTTGTTTTGAATGGAATGGTATAGAAATGACTTCTAATTAAATTCTAACACAGATACCTCTTTGAATATTAAGGTGTTGATGGGATTATTGAGTTCTTCTAGTTATTTTTACCCTCAAATTAGAATTAAGATGAAATTATATATATATTGATTGTTGCTCTAGTATAATTTTGTAAATACAGTGATCTACTTACTGCACACAACAAAATAAAATACATTTCCACAAATACGAAAAATGTCCCCTGTTTCCCTGAAAATAAGACCTCCCTGGACAATAAGCCCAATCAGGCTTTTGAGCGCATGCGCTAAAATAAGCCCTCCCTAAAAATATTGCAACACAGCCGCAGCCATGAGGTGACCACGCTCGCTGCCTCCTGCACCTCAAAAATAATAAGACCTCCCCGAAAATAAGGCCAAATGCTTATTTCGGGGGCCAAAATAAATTAAGACTGTCTTGTTTTCAGGAAAACACGGTATTTCTATAAATGTATGTTTCAGCTTTTGCATAGCATTATTGATTTATACTTTGCTTATGTAATAGTGCTTTCAAGAGGTTGCATATTATCTGGAGAATACAAAAAAAGCTAAAGCATGCATGGATTTTTTAGGATTAATGCTTTACTTCCTGTTTAAACAACATTATACAAGCATACGTGTTCAGTCCAGTACATGCATCTTCACTGTTTTGAGGTTTCGGTAGTGCATAGAAATAGGAAAAGGCCCCTACTAGCCCCCCTTCCATGTCTAAACAATCCGAGCACAGCTTTCCAAACTAGCACAGATGGGGAGGTATGAATTCCTCCTTTGTTTTGGTGGGTGACCAAATGAATGTTGTGTACCCCTATTCCCCCCCCCCCCATATGGTGGTCAACAAGATTGAAAGCAATCTACTTAACAAAAGAGCCCTCTTGCTTCTTTCAAAGAGATTTTCAGAGTTAAGTTTGAAAGGCCCAAAAAATTTGTCACCCTGGAATCCAGAAATCCCCAAACAAAAGAGATGGACAAAAAAACAATAACATCTTTGTCTTCTAGATGCTTTAAATTCCTTTGATGGTAAAGTAATTGAAGAACAGTATTGTATCTTCAGCTTTGTATTCTTCAGGATCCTTCCTTGAAGAACCTTGAGATGCAAAATAAATGGGAGAAAAGAGCAGGTATTATTTTGCAGGAAAAAAGAGTAAGAAAAAAGGAAATTGGAGAGAGAAGAGGGTATAATCTAGTTCCCTAAAACTTCCTTTCCTTGGATATGATTACTAGGATTCCTTCTTTTAGTCTTCACTTCAGAGTATTGAAAACTCTGCCTTGAAATAGATTTGACCCAGTGGTAAAAAGCTATCTTTGTATCATGCCAATGTCACACATAAAATATATTTTTTATGATATCTCCGTTATGCAAAGGCTTCAAATTTCCTTAAATATAAATTTGTTTTGATTTGTCAATCCATATAAATCCCTAATGTTTTGTATCAGTGCTAATCGTATATTTTTAACTTTCTTTTTTATAACGTCCCAGTCTCCTTTTGGAGAACTAACTTGGAGCAATGTCAGTGAGAATCACTTCTTTGTCTTATAAACCTATAATATGTTTGGTGCTCCAGAGAACTTCTTAACCAAGTGGAGATTTCAATCTGAAGATAAAATTCATTCTTAGCATTTCACCACATAGTTGTTAATGCCAGGCGCTCCTTTTTCATATTTTCAAACTAAAAATTATGTATTGTAGCTGTGCTCATTAAATTATTTTTGCAATGTTGAATGAAAGGAAAATTTTCATCCTGTCTAATGAATCGGGTTTCAGAAAATAGTTTCTAATCTATTTGTGTACTTCCTGGGCATTCATTTCTTTGCATAGCCACAAGAGGGACTAGTATTCTTCCAGACAATCTCAAAACACATCTAAAACATCTTTGCATGACTTGCTTATTCTCAAGTACATTGGTATTTTTTAACCTATTACAGGTTTTTTGCAGACATCAAAAGAAATTAATCTTGAATGCTCCCCAGAAATTTTATTTTGGTTGAAATAGGATAAGATGGATTGTAATATTTTGACATTGTTTCATTGCAAACAAGACTAATATTTCGATAAAACTATTATTTCAGGAAGTGGTAAAACAGAAAGTAAAACGCCAACTAAATAAACAACAAAAAGCTGCTTTCAGACGACGACTGCAGAAAGGAGAAGCTAATGTTTACACCAAACAACGGCGGGAAAACATGTACAATATCAAATCAAGTTTGGATTCATCCAGCTTCTGGGAATGACATCCTAAGGAGAAATTTATCTTTTTTTCTGCCAAATCAAACGAATCTTTTATTTTGAAGAAATACTTGCAGAGAGGAAACACAAAAATAATCACATCTTCACAGCCTGACACAGGTTTATGTAATGTGCTTCATGACTGTCTTACACAAGTGAGGCAAATGGCAACTGTCCTTTGTGTAAGACATCACAACGCAAATAGTGTCAATTGCTGTGTAAATTTGGTCCTTCGCTTAGAAAGTCCATTGCATAAGTTTTAATTGAAGTGATATATTCCATTCTTGTATCCTGAGTGGGGTTTTTAGAAACTCCTAAAGTAATAGGCTATATGAGGGTAGGGGGATAGGACTGATTTTGAACAATAGGGTAAATTATGGCAGACCTTTCAAGACAGTCCATAACTTGGTTAAAAGAAATTGCTACTTAATTTGACTGTGTTTGAATTGCCTCGAGGTCTATGCAATAGTTGATATAAAATTTTCAATGATGCTTGGATCTTTGAGTTGTACAAATTTAACACTTGCACTAAATCTAAAGTTCTTTTTTTACAAATCCCAAAGGTTAACAATATAAATCCCATCTGTGTCAGGTAATGAAAATGATATTGCACAGAGCCTGCGAGAACATTTCAAAAAGGCAATGAGGTTCTGCTAATATTTTTTCATATATTTATTCAACATTTTACTAAATGGCCTACTGCCAAGGGTCCTGAGCTTATTTAGATAAAATGTTGTGCCTTTACAATATAAAAAAATAATTGGCATGTTTGATTTGATCTAACATTATTTAAGAAAAACAGCATAGAAATTTGGATGCAACCCAAGGATTTTGATTTTTTTTAAAAAATGTTTTCAAAAAAATTAGAGGAGAACAGAGTTAACAAAAAATAAATTAGTACCTGATGACTTAAGAGATAAAAAGCTCAGTGGAATAAGTACTTTAATCACTTAAAAAGTTACATGTGTATCAGAAAGTACTATTTTATTAAACAGTAATTGTTATTTTTGTGTTATGAACACTTCTTGCCCTTTATGAACTTTGTACGAAGAGTGTTTCTGTTATTTCAAAAAAAGTAAATTAAAATTATCTGGTATTTTGAAAAACAATTAATTTTCATGTGGTATTACTTCTTACAGTTAACCAGAAGCCTAACATGATAATTTTATTATGTGACACAACAATTTCTAATTTGCAACCAGACAGTCTGCTAGATTTTAATTCAGTGAGATCCCAGGAAGTAAATCAAACCATGATTAACTTCACCAAGGGTAGTGTTATTTTTTTTAACTGGCAATATGCAGCAACAATCGATCAAGTAAATTGCAGAATGACCAGAGAAGGTGCCATCAAAGGAACAATGAAACCACACGTGATTTACCACCAAGCACAAAATATAAATGTTCACAACAAATTGAGAAAGTGGACCAACCAAAAGAGAATAGCACCAAATTCAATCACTGATCAATGGATACTTCCCAAGAAGTATCCAATCACCAACCAACCCCCCAAAATTCAGATCCCGCGCAAATTATAAATATGACAACAATTCACTTATGGATCATTGCACTTCTGAAACACATAGCAAAATGTGTCTGCAACACTTGTAATACACATTTCAGTGCAGATTTTCCTGAACCCAGAGAATCCCAAAGTGTGTAAAAGCAAAACTGAATTTGAGACTTCAGAATTATGCCTAATTTTAGCTGGCACAGTACAGTCTTTAGAATGTGACCAAGATCCTATAAATAGAGGTAATGCCACTATGTAATGCTCGAGTTACAATGAATCATCCTGTTGGAATATACACATTGCATTTATCAAAGCGTTGTACCTTTCTTCATCCCAAAAGTTCAAGTGAAAGATTTTGCTGTTAACAATACGATTTTTGTATTCACACACACTAGTAAACCAGGTTTTACCATAGTTTGACAAATAGGCCATTATAATTTGGCTTGCCTAGTGCAGTGTTATATGAAGCAAAAATCAAACCCATATCATTAAATCTTAGTATGATGCATAAATCTAGTTCTGATCTAATCTAAATGATCGATTTAATCCAAAATGTGGTAACTCAATATAATTTTTCCTTCCTTGCAAAACAAACTTTGAATTGGTTCAATGTAATTTTCCAACTCAATTAGGAAAAAAAAATCAAGCATCAGATTCAATTCATACACCATGCTGCTATTCCAATTTGGTAAATTGATTCCATTTAGTTATTTGATTTGATAAACACTGCACCATCTTTTTTCTAGGTTCTCATCTTATGGCTTGTTCATCAGCTTTTTCATACAGTACAGAAAAAGTCACTGAAAGAGAAAAAATGTTACATTAAAAAATTAAATATAAATGTAAGAATTTGGCTCTAATCCTATGCACATACTTCAAGGTTATGCACCATTGAACAATTAAATTTACTTCTGAATAAAACAGCACTACTTAGGGGAAAGGGATGGCCAAAAATAACCAATGTTCCCTAACTCCACTTTTAGATTAATACCAGTCTCTAAAAGGTCAACATGTCATTTATACAAAGCATGAATTCAACCGTTCCTCTTTCATATACATACATTCAATCAAATCTATTTACTAGGAACTTCAGCAAACGTGTAGGCTAGATGAATGAATGTTCCTAACAATCTGAACACAGCTGTATGCAATAACATTCCATAGAATGAATTCTTCAGTATTTTTCTTGCTGTATTCAGAATGCATATCCAACTAATCATTGCTGTTTCAAAAGTTGCAATTGTTTACCAAACTGCTTAATGTTAAATGGGATTTGGATTTTAGCAGGTGAGTAGAGATTTGTACTATGAGTTTTTAATACTCAGAAATTAAGGAATTACCATAAATAACATTTGATAAAAACAACAGAAGTTGGGGAAATTAGATTACATGGTTATCTTGGAAATTATTTCTCTTCCAGCCTGCATTAATAAAACAACTTCCCTGGCAATATAATTAGTTCCAGGTAAATTCTAAGTGCTGTTTATGACTTTCATTATAGAGAAATGGTTAGGGATGATTTCCTGAAAAATTCTTCCATAGGAGCCTGCCCAATTTTAATATCCTTTGAAAGCCATAAGGACCAGAAGCCCATTTCTGGGGAATTGAATAGCTTGGAGCCTCTGTAACTACTGGGCTACTTTCTCTCAGGTATTCATTTATCAGAGACAAGAATATTTCTACCCAGACAACTTTCGGCCTCTAAGCCAACTTTTTGCCAAAGAAATCTGTAGTGCGAAAGTGTCATTTATTTCTTCTTATTGAAGTATGTTAAATTTTACTTTCAATTAATTTGTATTTTTAATTTTTCTTTTAATTTCAGGTAGTCCTCAACTTACAACGGTTCATTTAGTGACCGTTCAAAATTACAACGGCATTGAATAAAGTGACTTATTGATTAGTTTTTCTCTGCAGTTTTTCACAGTTTCAGAGTTTTTCACTTACAACCTTTGTAGAAACCCCATGGCCATGTGAACAATATTCAGATCCTTGACACCTTGTTCATATGGTTGCTATGTCCTGGGATCATGTGATCACCGTTTGTGATCTTCTGACAAGCAAAGTCAATGGGGAAACCAGATTAACTTAACATCCGGGTTACAAATATAACAGCTTCAGTGATTCACTTAACAATTGTGGCCAAAAAAATCATAAAATGGGCCAAAACTCACTTAGCAAATGTCTCACTTAACATCAGAATTGTTGGGCTCAATTGTGGTAAGTAGAGGACTACCTGTAATTTGTAAGTCTGGACATTTTTACAAGTCTACTACTATTTGTTTATTACTCTTCTTGACTGCCTCAAGTGCTCTTTTCTGGAAAAAAAAACCAGTGAAAAATGTAAATGAAAGAAAATGTTGCTCTTCTAATAGCTACTCTTTTCAGATTCACCACGATACTAAAGTGATTTTGTGATGAAATTCAGAGATAAACCCAATCATGAAAAAAAAACCTTTGGAGTGGGGCTAAAATGTTTGAAGGTGTCAGGAAATAAAGGAAGATATTTAAATACAGACGGAGCATGTTTCATTTAAAACACCAGCATTGCCAATAGCCTGTAAAATGCAATCTGTTTGCATTTTACCACTGATTGAATATGTGAAATTCTATATACCTTGTCAATGTCTTTAATTTTTCCCCTTTGTGTTAGCGACATGAGATTGTATTCTTACTTAAGTTAACAGAAATCCAAACTCTGACTCTCTAGATCAGTGTTTTTCAACCTTTTTTGTGCAAAGGCACACTTTTTTCATGAAAAAAATCACGAGGCACACCACCATTAGAAAATGTTAAATTTTTTTAACTCTGTGCCTATATTGACTATATATAAAGTGTTTTTCCCACGGCACACCTTACACTATGTCACGGCACACTAGTGTGCCGCGGCACAGTGGTTGAAAAACACTGCTCTAGATGTCAGGATGAGATGAGGAATGCTTTTCTCATGATTAAGCTTCTCTAGCCAGCCAGTAGGTGGGTGTGTTTCACAGAAGAAAGCGGTAGTCAGCCTCCTTCTCTCCCTAATTAGCTCAGCCAACAACAAAAATAAGTGAGCCAGGGAGGGAGACCCCCTGAAGGGTCTTTCGAATCTGGCCAATGTCTGATTGGCAGATGTTGAAAGGGATCAGTTGGTAATCCAGTTCATCAATGAGCTGCATAAATTCAAGACAGGACTGGAAGAATTCCGGCATGTGGACACTTGGCGGGGGCAGTCTGGTAAAAGGCAGCTCAAGATGGACAGAACTTTGGAATCTCTACAGCACATCATTTCTCAAGTCTTGCCTCACAGAGACCCTACACTAGCATTTAAAGACTGTGAGTACCAAAGTTTCTGCACTACTGGGAGGGAACTTGCTGAAATCTGTAGGACAGAGATTTTGCAAAGATGTCCGTAAGGTTTTATGTACAGATTCACTATTGAGAAAGACTAAGAGACTGTGCATGGTATTTTGCTTTCTATCAGTAGCATATTTGACTTAATATAAAGTAACAGTTTTTACTGTCTTAGACTCAGGAAAAAATAATAATCCACTCATGTATAGCATATTATATTGGGAATTACTTTGTCTCTAGGTAGTTTGAATGTGTCTTATAAAAGGCTTGTTGCAAAATATTAAGACTTCAATTTACATTGTGATCTTTATATGAGATCATACATAGTTTTGCATGTATGTGGTATTTTAATACATTTCATACAATACAGAATCTCAGTAAAACATGATTTTAGTGTATGTACTCATGCAGACACACAATTACTCCATAGAGCATTTAGTTTCACTATAGGGAATTCTAAATTGGTGTTACAATTTGTGCTGTGTTTATTTTTCCCATTAATATTTGTACTATAATAAATCTAGCTCTAAAAATGCTAAATATCAATATCTAAAAGCTTTCTTCCTTCAGCTTCAATCTGAGCTTGCTAGTTTTGAATCACGCTTCTAAATATTCAAAGATGAACTTTTAAAGACTAAGAGGATCAGGATCCTGGAATCCCAAGTTCAGAAAAGTAAAATCCTTGAATGCTACAGAAAATCAGTTTTGAGCAGTTTGCAAAATTTCTTAGGTTTATTTAAGAATGTTCCATCACCTTCTTTGATATCACATTTTGTTTACCGTGAGTGTGAGGTAGAAAGACAATGGAGAGAGAAAGAAGGAGACAGAGGAGCAGTCAGTTAGTTTTATCCTAATTTTCACATTTTTTTTCAGAATAATATTTTTAAAAATAGCTAATCATGAAATATGTTACAAAACATTAAGGATATGCTTAATTCTTATGTTAAATGATAGTGCATATACTGATTCTTTCTAAATTAAATGGGATTAATGCTTGAAATAAGCAGCTGGCAATGAGCAGTTATGCATTTGTTACTGCATACATAGTTTGTCAGAAATCAACAGTTATATAAACAAACATGAACAGAACTTCCTTAGCCCACCCAGAATTAAAACTCCCTCCTGATGCAACCATCCTACGTTCAACTGAGGTTTTTTTTTTCACTCTGTAACCTTGTAGGAGCAGATGCATCTTATAAGCAAGGAGCATTTGGTATAGAAAAGATGGGAAGCTTTCTTTCCCCTTCTTTGTGGTGAATTCCTGAAAATCATCAGACAAGGTTTTGATTGAAAGTATATTTACTGGCCTCTCAGATGGTTACTGTGACCACCCATAGATTATAGGGTGAGAACATAGCTATAATAAAGCAGAAAAAGCACATGTCAAACAAGATGGGTTTAAAATATCATTTTAATAGAATCTCACCACAAAAGTGGAGCCAATCATCAAAAACAGTACTTTAGTAATCTTCGCACTCTTTAATTATTTCACTACTTCTTATTTGCTGTGTTATAAACTGACTGCTCTAAATCACTTCTAAAGTAGAAATTATCCTTTAGTAAAACAGAGGGTTTGAGAAATCCAATAATCATATTTCAATATGGCAAATTTCCTAATATTGAAAATGTGGAATCCAGTTATAAGTTCTACAGAGTACTGTAGAAGTACTCAGAGCACTCTACAGGGTGCTGAGAAGCAGGGGTGGCTTCCAGCAGTTGCTACTGCCAGTTCTCTCATGGCTGCGCTGCGCGTACACACTTGATGTGCACATGTGCAGAAGCAAAAACCAAGAAAACCAGTTTGGAGGTGTGGCAGGCCTGGGTCACTGCAGGTTACAGTGACCCAGGCCACCAAACCACTACCTTTTCCACCGAACCAGTCTGAACTGGTAGGAACCCATCACTGCTGAGAAGTAATGGGTCTTCGTCAAGCTATTTCTTAGTTTTCCAGGTGTCCCTCAAATTTTCGGTCATGTTATATTATGAATCTTTAAAGCAGGCTCTTGGTTTGGTCATTATATTTACCAATCCTTTGGTAACTATATTTACCAAGGGAAGATTTATATTTTGTACCCACAGTTTTGACAACATTGAAATGAGCACCAGGACTGTATGTTCATTTAGAACATGCTTTGTGAGTTCTACAAATATTGAAGTTGTCAATTTTTTAAATTTATTTTTTGTCTTTTAATGACTCAGTAATATCTTGCATGGGGGTGGAGTCAGGGCCACCTAATGGAGCTGAGTGTTTACTGGCCAGATGCCCTTCCTGTCACCAATGCAGAGTTTGCTGCAGATATTTTCTCATTGTGCCCAGAGAGAGAAATATCTGCTGCTACCTAAGAGCAGGATTCCTAGGGTTCCGAAGTTTCAATGGCTGCCCCCAATGGGCACATGACCGCATTTCAGGTGTTCAGCCACACAGCTGTTTATAGTATTCTGTGGTCACATGACCATGATTTAAAACCTTTTTTTTTAATGAAAACTGACATTCGCTTCCAATTTTCAGCAAAAATACCCCATAGCAAAGAAGCTTAATGACAGTGGATTCACTTAACAACCATGACGATTCACTTAATAACCACTTAAAAGATAGTAAATTCAGGTTGGTCATGTGATGACCCACTTTACAACCATCACTACTTATAATGGGCAGGTCCCATTACGGTCGTAAGACAAGGACCATCTGTAATCAATCTACAACTGTTTCAAATTGAAAATAAATAGGAAGCCATGGGCTTTTTCTCTTCCCTTCTTTACAGTGACCTTTCATTATTCTGTTTGGATGGTTGGGTTGATAGAAAAGATATTTGTAGACAGGCAGGCAAAGACATCCATATGGTTGTCAGGGTCCTAAGTGTTGCTCACCTATATAATAGAAGAAAACATTATCGTCTCTTTTTGCTTGCCACACCAGAACAATTTTGAATTCAACCCATCAGGGAAATGTCATCCAGGTCATGATTATCCCAAAGGTGCTTTTCAAAGGCCACTGGACTTCCTTTGTTTTTTCTTGAAGAGTTTTCATTTGTCATCCAAGAAGTTTCTTCAGTTGTGACTGAATGGTGGAGGATGGAAGGATTTATATTCCTTGCAGTTATCTGGTCGTTAGCACTGTTTATGTGGATCATTGAGGTCACTTTGAGGTTTATCTTGCCCTCAGGGTCACCTCAATAGTGCAAATAAGTGTGGAACCTTCTCAGTCCTCTCTGTCCACATTTCTCAGTCCTCTCTGTCCACATTTCTCAGTCTTCTCTATCCACATTTCTCAGTCCTCTCTGTCCACATTTCTCAGTCCTCTCTGTTCCC